GACAGCAGCCGTCAGCTACGTAGAAAAAGATCCTCGAGTAGAAAGTAATATTAAATACATTCTAACAACAGCTGATCAAGCTTAAACGTGCTGCTGTTGTTTATCCACTGGTTTCCTCTTTCTGGTGCAAAGTGGGCCAAAAGCAAACAAGAGACACGGACTCGCGACAGAAAAGCCGATCAGCTGATCGTTAAGCAGTTTCATGATTGAAGTAGCAGCCGGAGAGCGAGAGGCAGTCGCTCGTTAAGCTTAACGCAGGAATGCTTTACAAACATTCAGAGATGGACTTACACACTTGCTTTACTTCTCTCGGGGATAACTTTGTCGGAGATGAAATGCCGGGTTGCTAGCGAAGCTCCACAATGCTATCCAGACCACCGACAGGTCCCCATGCCACAGCCGCTCTATCACGTGATGCATACTGCTCCGACGTGCTAACGTTCTGAGGTGAGTTACGGCGTGTTGCAAGTTTTGTGAGGTGCTTTCGTGATATTTAATGGATCGGATTACATTTTTTATTTTTCTCCGATATCCGATCCAGTAATTTAGGTCAGTATCGGACCGATTCCCATACGTAATATCGGATCGGTCCATCTCTAGTTTTTACTAAATTAAACATTATTGCACTGTGTAAATGTATTCTTGAGGCTTCAAAGCAAGACTTCAAAAACCAATGACTGCTGTCGCAGCTTTGCCTCTATGAGAAAACAGAACTGACCTTCTGCACTCCAGGTTGGAAGACATTTGGTCTCCACAGTGGAACGACAGACCTCAATAAAGGACATTTTTCCTTGAATGAGAATCATTACCTCATCTAGGAACGGAGGAACAACCCCACGGACGAAGAACTCCACCAGCGAGCTGCGAGGTAGTTTGTATTCCTCCATCCCCACAGACAAACTCTGCAGCATCTTCTCCTTGTTCTGGCTCTTTCCTCCCATCAGCTCCACTGCTGCCTTCAAGGTGTCCTCTGGCTGCTCAAAGTCCTTCATCCAGCACAGCAGGCCCTCCAGGCGGCTCTGAGGCCTACTGGCGTCTGGGGCAAACCGACTCCAGATAAACTTCGGCAGCTTCACGTAGTCGTTCCCAGCCAGGGCAGCGAAGGTGGGCAGGAGCTGGGGCTGGATTTTGAAGGAGATGCAGAAGCTGGAGGTATAGTACCTCTTACAAGGGATGTAGCTCTTTGAGCCATTCCCCTTTACATCCTGCCACTGGAAGTAAGAGATGGGCAACAATCCTGCTGAGAGGTTGAAGATGTAGAAGTCGCTGTCGTTGGAAAGCACTGGGCACTGCCACTTATCAGCTAGGGCAGCTATCTCCCGATCGGCCTCGCCAAAGCACTTGGCGACCGGGACCTTCAGCCGGGTCAGCGTCTGTCTGAACACCCACTTGGTCATAATTGGCAGGATGTCTTCCTTACCCCCGTCCTTTGCTGCTCGATGGGCTCTTTCGATCCGCTGCTCTGCCCTTTTTGTCACAGTTTCGAGCTTCTTGTCGGTGTGGTCCGAGCCTCCGTCCAGCACCATGTAGGGATCGACCTCGCAGGTTCTGAGGGCTGTGATGAACCTCTCAATCAGGCTTTCATAGGCAGCATACTCCCCGCCGTGATTCTGGTCCAGACCTGAAGAATCAGCCAAAACAAACACAACAAAGAGACTCCAAGAGTCAGTTTTGCACGTGGCGACAAACCATGCTGAACTGACATCAAGCAGAAACTGTCTGAAACAAATGCTGTCACCATGCTGTGACATCAGGAAGCTCGAGAAGATGTCAGGAAGGTCAAAGAATACTGAGGCAAGTAGTTTTACATATCCAGGACATGCGTAATGTTCACCACGTCTGAGTGATGAAAGTGTGCATGAACTCAAACCAGTACTTCAGATACTGATCCTGTGATGTTCCCTCAGCACCTTAAAGGCTTCCATACTACACATATATATATGTAATGTGGTTTTTATAGATTCTGGTTCTGAACAGTGAAGCTGTAGGGACTTAGGCCTCCAGCAGGGGGCGACTCCTCAGGTTGGGAAAATGATCTCTGAGCTCAGTAATCTCTCCTGATGAGCTCAGTCTGTGGGTTCAGGTCTGACTGAATCAAACGTGACTGTCTACAGTCTGAAGGTGTTTGAGTTTAGTGCTCCATCAGCTGATTCTGGGTCAGTAACTCACTAAACTCTGCACTCTGTGACTTTGTGGTTGGTTAGGAGCAGTGTTGGTCAAGTTACTTGAAAAAAGTAATCAGTAACTAATTACTGATTACTTCCCCAAAAACGTAGTCAGTAAAGTAATCCCGTTACTTTACTGATTACTTATTTTCAAAAGTAATTAATTACTTAGTTACTTAGTTACTTTTTAAAAACACGATTTACAACCTGAAGAGGTGATAAAGCGATAGATCTTTCAGCCCAATTCTACTTTTTCTGCATAATCCATCATATAAAATGTAATCAAATGGAAAAGTCTCTTTTTAACTTGTTTTATTAGTTTTAATCTTTTAACTTTATGCATCAAGCAAAAATTTAATTATCTGCAACATTCTCTGACTGGAAGAAATTAGTTTAACATTTAAACCTATTTTCTGCACATTCCAGCACATAAAATAAAATATTTTTGTGTTTACACTCAGTCTTTCAAATAGATGCAAGTAAAACACAGCAGAAAATAAATAAAGTCACAGACTCAGCGGTCCTGTTGCTCTATTTTCACCTGTAAAGCAGGAGTGGGGTAGGCGGAGGGTTACCCTGGTGCAGGTGTGCCGCGGTCAGTGGAAGAATCCGCGAGTTTCTCTGTGAGTTTCCCATTACGTCGTAGCTACTCGGTGCTTGTTGGAAGTTTAGGGGTTTTTTCGCTGTAAAAAGAAGTTTTCTTCCCACGCACAGCGGACACTAATGTTTTTGTCACTTTTTATGGAATCAAACTCAAAGTAAGGTCAGTACTTCCACGCTTTAAACGCTGCACGCTCATACTCTCTCCGCACTCGATATGTGATCCATTGTTGATCTGCACACAGCTGTTGTCACGAACACTCCTTACGTCACTGTCATGAGACACTCTCTAACGCAGTAAGGCAGGGTTCCTACGGGAAAGTAACGGTAATCTAATTACCGTTTTTGCAATAGTAATCCCTTACTTTATTTCAGTAACGCGTTACTGCCCATCTCTGGTTGGGAGTCTGCATGCTGAAGCAGGACGCTCACACCATCAAATAATAATTCATCTTTACACATTTTCACCCCTTTAATGTAAAGAAGAAGGTAACGTCGCCTGAGCCCAAGTCCAGAGTGTAAAACAGCTGAACGCCAAACATCCAGATCACACAGGAGAGCAACATCTGCAGAGCTCAACAGCAGCGGTCAGGTTTCATAATTCTGCGGTTTAATGACTCAGACATGTTTAAATTCTCATCTGCTTTAACATTCATCACACGTGCGCGCATGGGAAGACGTGCGCGCGTGCACTATGTAAGTAAAGTTTATTAAGTGCTTTTCACAGACAGGCAGTCACAAAGTGCTGTACACAAAGATTATAATAAACACAGTGCCGTAGCTCCGCAAACGCACATAACGCACACTGCGTAGGGCACCAAATGGCCGGTAGGGCACCAAAAAAATCAGGGTCGTAAAAAAAAAAAGTAAACCATATTAATACTATAAATATCATATGCATTAATATGGTTAAACAATACAAAAGCAACATAAAACAATTTTCCCGAGAAAAGGGGTGAATCTGCTTTGTGCCCTGTCTCCAGTCTCCTCCTGGTGCCCCCCCCCTCCCAGTGGTCTGTTCTATAATTGGTAAACACCTGTTTGAACATGGCCTCGAAACGGCAACAGGAGTCGGGAGCGGAGAAAAGAAAGAAGAAGAGGAAGCGTGATGAAACTCAGGCGTCGCTTGCCGCGTAAGGCAATGTTAAATAATAATAATAACTAGAAAGCGAAAATTTCTGAAGAAATTTTAAGTGTGCCTATGCCGCCGCTAATCAGTATAGTTTGCCATTCAAACGGCTACAGAGAGCAAAACTCAGCAGAGCAGCCATTCTCCACCATTAACTATGGTAAAACCAAACACCGCTCGCGCCTCACAGATGACAGCTTACAGTTTTGTGTAAAGATGAGGTGACTTCGTACAGCCCCAATTTGTAGACGCTGTGCGCAGAGGTTCATAAGCAGACCCGACAATGTTTGCATGAACACACTTTGAAGCATTACGTTATGGACCACTTTTCACACATAGTTGCTGTACCCACACAGCCGGCTGTAGCTTTTCATCTCACAGCCCGACACATACAAAAAAAAAAAAAAAAAAAAAAAAAGCAGAGAGAGCACAGACTTTACACCTGAGAGGCGTGATTGCAGATATCGCTGAGGTGGGTCCACCTCCCCTGCAGCGGCACTGCAGACCACGCCCTGCCACACACATCAAACACGTAAAATAAATATTTATGCACTTTTCATTCACTTTTTGTTTTTTGTTATTTTGT